GACTTTGGGACACATTTACTTCAAAACAATGGGATCTAACTGCTCACCATGTGGCAATGAAGGACAGGGATGCAGCCTCACTTCCTGCTCAGAAATGTAGGGGCGTGGCTAAAATAAGTCTCTGCCTATATACCAAAACTCTGTGTTTCGGTAGTGACAAGCATTTTTTGAATTTGTTAAAAAATAAAACTCATAAAAAAATAAAACTTTCAGCCTCACTTTAAAAGGAAAGAAAAAAATCTTTAAAAACATGTAAATTTCCACAAAAATGTAAATATTATTTTCCCAAATAAAAAATTTAGGGGTTAGGGTTTGGGACAAACTCCTCCCAATAGAAATAGAACCCTATATATAACCCTATATAAAATAGCTGATTATTGTCTTTATTAATGCCCACACTCTTAAAAATATGGTTCTGCAAGGGCTCTTTAGTAAAGGCAGTGGTTTAGAACTGTTTAGGACCTTGAGTTGACTAAATGACTGTATAGAACCATTTGCATGCTTAAATGGTTCTTTGCATGGTCAGATGTTTTTTCAGATTGATGGAGAATGTTTTGTGCATGGTTTTATCTAGAACTTTTTTGAAAATGGTTCTATGATTTTTGTATGATTTGAATGATTTTTTTTGTAGTTGTCAAGTTTGTAACAGTGGAAGAACCCTTTTTGGTGCTGTATAGAACCATGTACAACACATTCTCCATCAATCTGAAGAACCATTTGACCATGCAGTGAACCATTTAAGCATGAAGTACATTTGCGTAGAACTCATGGTTCTATATAGAACCATTCCCACACTGAAGACCTGTCTCTTCTAGGTGTGTTAGGTTTAAGTAGATTATAACATAATCCTTGTAATTATCTAAAGTCTGAGTAATTAATTGTTTTTTAAGTAGTTTTAACCGTAGGAGCACAGTTTAAACTTAAGTGGACATTCATATCTGTCTGTCTTGTTGGCCGTGTTCAGACTGTCAGCTCAAATCTGATTTCTGTCGTATCCAGATTGATTTTTGATAGTGTGAACAGCAAAAAACATAAAATCTGATTTTTGCAAATCGGATCCAAACCACATTCGGAGGTCGTTTGAAATGCGACTCCAGTCAGATTTCTACAGATGCGTCTCAGTCTGGACGCTCTGGACGCTCAAATCAGATTTCAAAGTGTCTTTTTTGTCACTTGCAACTTGACAAACAGCGACGATGTCGAATCCAGAGTGACGAAGTTCTGGGATTCAAGAAGAGCTCCACAGATTCATGACTATGAAGAGAGTTCTGAAGAGTCTGGAGGGGAGATGATGCTCCTCCATCTCTCCTGCATCCGCGCTTGAAATCCGCATCACCAGCGTAGCTACGTAGTTACTGACACCTACATTGTTACCACGGCAACCCATGCAAAAAGGTTGGTGAGGTATGAACACACAAATCTGATCTGACCACTTGTGAATAACAGAGCGGACAGTCGACTCAACAGATCTGATTTGAGGAGCAAAGCAGTCTGAACACAGAGTTAGACTTTCTTTTTCTTCTGTTCTGTCCTGCGTTCTCTCTCTCTCTCTCTCTCTCTCTCTCTCCCCCTCAGTTTCACTCATTCACAGTGTTTCCTTTCTCACTGAGCTGGTCCGAAGGGCGATAGCTGACCCTTGGTCAGAGATGAAGTATCTCTCTCTCTGCTGTTTTTTCCTCTCTCCATCCTTTGTTTACTTTGCTTGTACTGTCAGAATAAAAGCCGGAAGTAATAGCTCTGCTGTGTGTGCGTGAGGCGCTGAGGTCGTTCAGGTTGTTTATTTTAGGCTCTGCAAGTTTTCCTGGACTGTGAGCTTTAAAAAAGTTGTTTTAGCTGATGATCACACCCAAATCGTACAGTACAGAACCATCAAACAGTCATTACAGTCATAAACTCATAAACCAAATAACACACTGCAACTTATTTATGCTTTTATTTGATGTTTTTTTGAGTCCAGTCGACGGACGCCTCTCTGGTCATTATTGCTGCTGTGGGTCATTTGATTACATTTATAATTATCTGTTTAAGTGCTAATTTTGGAGGAACTGGGCTCCATTTAGGAACTTGTTTTCCCTGCAGTTTCGTTTAGCCCTAATTTATGTTTGGCATGGAGTTTTTCCACGGCTCTGTAGTAGCACTCCTGCTTCACATCTGTTCATCTGATCTTTACCGTCCTAAAAATTCCTAAAAATGATCAATAAAGCCACTTTTCCATCATATGGTACAGCTCTACTTGACTGTACTCTCTTTTGGTACCGACTACTTTGTTTTCCACTGCAGTTATAGCGCCCCCTCAATGTAGCTGGTCAACATAGTGATGCCAGATAAAACTGCCCTGACGTGAAGGAGACAGATGTTGTTTAGAAGAGGCAGCAAAACAAAAGACTGCTAAAAGAAACAGGAGAGTTGGGGAAAACTACATCAGAGTTCACACGACGAGACGGTTCTGGTTCTCAAAGGCGACGCAAGAGGCTACGCTAACCTGGTAGCTAATGTGTTT